GTTTTCACGCTGTGAATTTCTGCTGTCGAATGGTTTTAAATTCCTGCGTCTTGCATGCATGCAAATTCTTTTTACTGGAAGAGGGAGGCGAAGGAAGTGGACCTTCCTTGGCTCGGCTCGGCTTCGTTTGTTAAACGGGGGGGTGGGTGACAATGCAATGCGATTCAGAAACTCCGAGAAGAGAATTTAATTGCTTGCACACTCAATACTGCACCCTCCCCACCACCACCACCATCTGCTGATGCTTCTGAATATCGAATTGAAGAGCCCGAATTTCTGAAACTTTTTTTGGCAGCCACTCCCCACAGTGGGGCAGCTCTGAAGTCATCATGATTTTCCCAACGTCAGGTCACCTCAACCTTATTGATTAGGGGGTCCAAGGTATTTAATACTTGCCACATTTTCCCATTTACTCTGGGATTTCCCTTTTCCTTATTCTTTCTTGGCCAAAACAAACAAGGGGTTATTGCTTTGGAATTGCTATTTTTGCTGCAGACATATAGTCGATGTAATCACACCCGATAAGTAAAAAAAATTGAAAAAAAGAACATTTCAGGATGTAGGTATGCGGAGATAAGATAGAATTTTTATGAGATGAATTAGTACAACAAAATCGCTAAATAAAACTATATTAATCACCGTGGCAATTTAGTATTTGAGAAATAGTTTCCTAAAAAAGGACCTTCATTTACCTGATGCACGCAGAAGAAGCAATCCGGCATGCATCCGTACAGATAAGCCAAGCTGAAAAACATATATATTCTCAGAAAGCATTCATCTAATATATGGTTAGGAGAGTAAAGGAAGATTGAATATGTGGTTTATCATGAGTTAGAGTGCTTTTAAGCATTCGTCCGCATAAGGAACACGAGCTTGTCCATATTTCATATAGAGGTAAATTGGATATGGAAACCTTAGTTTTGCTTCTTCAAAAATCTACTAGTTTTTGAAGTTGACGTGGTAGGGCTATGTGTATTCTTATTAGGGTTATTAAAATGGGCCACATGCCCATATTTGAACCCCTGTTTATGGTATTAAATCAGAAACGGGTCACTTACAACTCTTTTTGTCTCACTCCTCATTTTATGTACAAGTGTGTATGTTGCTCATGGGAATCGAACATCGAACCCGATACTCTCCGGCTCCATCTCGCTAATCTCTTTACCAGTAGGGCCACGTGCATGTTAGCCACTTCAAACTTAAGATATTATGGGTTTTACAAAAGAAAAAACCCAACTAAACGTGGGTATTAATGGGTTTTAAACATATTCATTTTCAACCCAAAAAAAGCAATTAGCTGAAGAAAAATTAAAAGAAAAACCCTCTTCTTCGACAATGGGCAAAAGGACGAAGATTGGCATCGACGGTGCCGCTCCGCCATCAATGATGTTGCCCACAATCGCCGGTCTTGCTGGCAACATCGCTAGCAAGAGCAATGGTCTCGCTAGCAACAGTCTCAATCTCTTTGTATGATGCTTGTCGATCTCTCTTTGTCTCTCATCCAAATCGATAAAGATTGGAAAGATTTGGCAAAAACAACAGCTTCACCACGTCGCTGACGTGGCGCAACTTGCCGTCGAACTTGCAGAGTGTGATTTTACCACTGTAGTTGTAGAGAAACTTCATAATACACGTCATCTTGCTCGAATCTACAAGGTCTCTCACCGTCTTATTCTCCATCACAAGCATATACAACAGTCCTAGTGTTCCAGGCGTGCCGAGGGTTTTGTCTCGGAAATGAAATATCATTCCTACAGATGAAGAGGGTGGTGATCGGGGTGCTACAGCAGTTTAGGGTGGTACCGACGGCAGAGGAAGTGATGGAGGTAATGCTCATTTCGTAACTGGTGGAGGAAGGGGCGGAGAGCATCTCAGTTTTTTTATTAATTATTATCATTGTAATTTTGCTAAATGCTTGATTGGTATAGTAAATGAAAATGTGAGTTATGTGGATGGATTTAAGTTTGATCTGAGTTGAGTTGAGTTGAGTACAGGTCATCTAAATTATTTAGAAGATATATGGGTGAATTTGAGTGGAACCCATTTATGAACCACTTCGACCCAAGCCAACCCCAATCCACAAATTTGTCACCTCTAATTCGTATTTCCTTTCTTCCATCTTCTACAACTAATCAGCAAAAAATAATAAAAAAGGGCCTTATTTGGGCTAGCCCATCCCGGTTTTCCAAGTGACCCTCTATTGAGAGTCCAAGCTAGCTCAACTAGCTCGTGGAGCCCGGCCAGCCAATTAACCGTGGATTTGCTAGATCGTTTTTACTTATACAACATTTTGTTGGCCTAATTTAGTAATTCAGATTTGTATCTTAGTGCTGAAGTTATATAATCTATCAAAAAGTTTGGTTTGATTAGGTGGACAAAGTCACGAAATTCATATGATTCTTGCGATAATCTAATTTGACCTCTTGAGTCTTGACCTTCCGTTTCATGCTGTAATTACCTTGATGAACACAAAGCAGAATTTCACGGTTCGAGTTGGAAAAAACAAAAAGGAAGGCAAAAAAAAGAGTGAAATATGCATGCGTAATTGCATATATTGTTAGATTGAGGAACCCTTTTGGCTTTGGGCATAGACCACACTTGGGAGGAAAAAAGGAGCACTAACCTGTGCCCTTTCGTAATCGATGACGAATTCAGTGAGAATAAGTCGAGTACATAAAGAGCATGGAACCCAATCGTTAGTGGAAAATAAACCCGTCAAATGGGTGGATCTGATAAAAAATGGTCCGACCCAAATCGATCCATTTAACCCGTTTTAACCCATTTCGATACAATACAAAATATAGTGACCAATGCCCGAACCGATCCTTATCAAACCCACATTCGACCCGACCTATATTGCTGAAACACTTACATATTTAACACGATCTAAGAAAATTCATACCCAAACCGAGATGAGGACATAGAGTGAGCGAATGCGAAATTGGGTGAGGGCTAGAGAAAGTGAAGGAAGAGTCATAAAGGCGAGTCGGGTCTAAGCAAGTTGTGAACCCATTTAACATCCATATTATTTTGGATTTTACTATTCTAAACCCATTTATGACCAATTTACTAAGTATAACTAACTCATATAATAACTCAGCCAATCAAATATGAGCTAAGAAATGGGTTTATGACCCATTTTGACATATCTAGCAGGAAAGGAAAGAATTAGGAGGACACCAACATAGTACGAACAAAGATATGACGCCTAATAATGTTTTAATTTAATCAACGAGCAATTCTACCTACACTATCCGATCAAAGACGGGTTAATTGCCGCCTTTTGCTTCGATAGCAACTAGATTGAGAAATCACGAGATCTTATAAGTCCCAGTTCAACAGTGGTAGTTATCAACGTTCCACCCACCGTTCGCAAATTGATGTTAAATATGAGGGAAAATGACACAAATAGTCACTGAACTTTAGCTCAATATGAAATATGGTCCCTAAAATTTTAATTTGTTCAATGTGGTCCCTATAATTTAACCTAATGTGTAATGTGGTCCTTGAACTTTTAATTTGTTTAATATCATTCCTGAATTTTTAGTACATGTTCAATTTAATTCCTGAACTATATGAAAATGTTCAATGTAGTCCTTCCATTAATTCAACTTCAGGAACTACATTGAACATTTTCATATAGTTTATGGACTGCATTGAATATATACCAAAAGTCCAGAAGCCACATTAAACAAATTAAAAGTTCGAGAACTATATTGAATATTAGACTAAAGTTTAGAGGGACTACATTGAATAAATTAAAAGTTCAAGAACCACATTAAATATTGGGCCAAAGTTCATGAATTATTTGTGTTATTATCTTTACTCGGACATCGTCCTGAACTTGCAAAGCGAATAGGATCTAGATCTCTAAAAGTAATTTTGTCCTACGTCATTTGGCTTTTTGCTTATTTTATATTGTACCTTTTACGAAATTGTAGCCATGGTCGGTTTGTCATTATTATTATTATTATTTGCATCATTTATGTCTTAAGCACTGATTAGCCGCTCCATCAAAGCAATCCGCATGCCACGTTGGATTTCCAATTACAAACGACACGTGAAAAGTGAGAGTTCTGGTGGAGGAACGACCGTCATTTCATTTTACAAGGTATCTACGTAATTTGTTGTTTCCTTGGTCCTCAATCGGCAAATAAGGTCGTGTTTGAGTCAGGTCAGAAATGGTTTGATCCAAATAAAATAATTTTTATATAATGCAAATCTAGTGACCACCCGACTCATGCCCAACTCAGATCTGACCTGATTCATATTGCTAAAATACTAAACCAATTTAGAAAAACTTATATCAAAACTGAGGTAAAAGTGCGGAGCGATTAAGCGCGAAATCAAATGATGGCGAAAGAGAATGAAGAGGTGGATTGGGTATAAATAAGTTGTAAAACCATTTATGATCAATTTACCGCCCATATTATGTTTAAACATATTTACTCAATATAACCAATCAATATAAACTCAGACTGTTATATATGAGTTAAAAACTAGGTCTCTAACCTATTTGGACAGCTCTGATCGTCGATAACTTAATATGCATCGCACCGTAAAAGAATACATTGGAAAATGCAAAATAATAATAATAATAATAACAACAACAACAACAACAACAACAATAGTACTCTTATTGGTTCCACAAACTGTATGTCATATATAATGTGGGTGATAGATGGAGGAAGGAGATCAGAGAAGGCAATGTTCCCATCCACGGTGACACGACTACGAGCGTTGCATGTGATAATCTTCATTCATACATAAAAATCACGTTACCACAAAAGAATAATAAAACACACACACACACACACACATATATATATATATGCTGAATAGAAAAATAGAAAGTCATGGAGCGAACGGGCCCTACCGTGTGAAGTTTGACCCTTTGACTTTCAAAGTTTGAATTCGCGTTGCCATCCCGTTAAATCGCTCTCTTCTCGTGTACGTTAACGTTTGGATCAAGCACTTTGGTACCAAAAGAGGTTTTCAGGTCCGAAGGAACAAAGAAGAAATATATTAATGATGTTCACCTCCTATTATTTCCATTTGACTGTTGTTACAATCTCCAAATCAAAAGTATCACAGGAACAAGCACGCCCAGTTCAATCTGATGTCTAAAATTTGCTCTGTTGGTTTAATATAAAAATAAAAATAAAGGCCAATTTCCTCTGCTGGGTCCCCCAGCTTAAAGAACTCTTAGAATTCCCAATTTAAGCAGTTGCAATTGGGACCAAATTGGGGGCTGTCTCCATGGCTTTCATGGCTTCGAATCTTGGCTCTTTGGCTTGGAACTTGAGAGCAGCATACAGTTTCATGTAGTCCTCGAACACAAACTTCGGGTAAGTCGCTTCACCGGCCTCCTCTGCTTCTCTCCCCACGAGAGCCGGCGCCGGATGGATCACGGCGTCGCTGCCCGGGTTGTAGAACGAAGCTATAGACATCCTGTTCCCATCTGTCTGGGCCACCACCCTGTGCAGCACGCTCTTGTACTTCCCATTGGTTATCACCTGCATTTATTTTGAAACGTTGTTCGAATGTCAAATGCCGAATGGGCGATATTCTTGTATGAAAAGGCGATGGTTTCGCTGTACCGCATAAGAAGTGTAACCGACATGTTAAGAAGCTTCTTTGTTTTGTCAGGGTTGCGATTGCGAGTGTATGTATGTACCTCGATTTGGTCGCCGAGGTTGATGACAATGGAGTGGCGCATCGGGGGTACGTCGATCCACTGGCCGTCCTTGAGGAGCTGCAGGCCGCTGACCTTGTCGTCCTGGAAGAGCAGGATGATGCCGCCGGCGTCGGTGTGGGCCCGAAGCCCCTTGATCAGGTCGGGCTTCGGGCACGGCGGATAGTTGCTGACCTTGGTGCCGAAGTTCGGCCCGTTGGACCCATAGAAGGCGTTCTGCAAGTAACCTTTCTCGAGGCCCAGGTTCTCACATAGCAGGTCCAGGAGCTCCTCCGCCAGCTTCTCCAGTTTCACTGCAAACTCCTTCATGACATTCCTGCATATCAAACGGTAGAAGGTCATCAGCGATGGATGCGGAGCGGAATGTAGCTTCTTCGTTTTTGCCATTCAAGTTATTAATTCTCATCAGCACCTGTAGTCATCATCGAGATCTGGGATTTGGGAGATGTTGGAGACGGGGAGGTGCTTCAAGTGGAAGGTGCTTTCCCAGTCCAAGTCATGGACCTCCGTCTGGACATACTCGAGCCCCTTGCTCGCCACCAGCTCTCTGAACCTCTGCTCCATGCACTTCTTGTAATGTCCCTTCGTCATTCGCTCGACCGTGTCCATCAGCTCGGGTGATATCCCGTGATTCACCAGCTTCATTTGGTAACATTTTCCAAGGCAAAGCAATCCAAAATGTTAGACCCAGTTTTTTCAAACATAAGTAGATTAGAGAGAGAGAGAGAGAGAGAGAGAGAGAGAGAGAGAGAGAGAGAGAGAGAGTTGTACCTCAAAGAAGCCCCAGTTCTCACAGGCATCTTTGATCTTGTCCATGGTGATTGCTCTATTCTCACCATTCAGGTTCTCCATGTTGATCACTGGGAAGCTCTCCATTATCTCTCTCTAGAAATTGTATTGAAACTTTGCTTCTCTTTTGGTTGCTCTCTCTCTCTCCAATTGAAGATTAGGCACTTGCTTGCTTGCCTTGGTGTTTGGGGTGTGGGCTATTTATAGTAGTTTTTCCAAGTAGACAAGAGAGGATTTCCTTGATCACTTTCTATTTTCACATTACTTGTATAGTGTATTGTATGGGTCATATAATTGAAAGAGGATTGAAGAAGATAAAAAATTACTAAAATTATGACCATCCGGTGGGTCCAACAATCCTCCATGGTGGCTATTGGCTAAGGTCAGTGTGCCTTGTCCAACCATCTCTCTTTGCTCCATGGATTTGGACCCACTTTGGAGGCGGCTAAGATTCCTCTTCCTTTTCGCCTTTATTTTTCCATTCTCCTTTTGACCAAAGTTAGAGTGACCTTCCATGAACATGCACTAACTGAGCCCCTGCATGCCATCGTCTTGAGCATTGCCGACGTGTCAAAAAAGATAGGTCAAACAAATTTTTCACAAGGGCGTGCGGTAATTAGAGCATATGTAAGTCGTGGATCTTGCGACAAGAACATGGGTTGATTTATGATCTTCGACACTATGGTGTAAGTAGTATTGTTTCTTGAAAATGTGACTAGTTCAACAAGCCACAAGACCTGGGTAATATCATCTAGATACACAAATGAATTTGCATATTTTACCATTATAGTTAACAATTTAGTCATATACTTTTCAATGTTGCCAATTTAATCATAAATTTTTGCACGAAATTTCAATATGGTCATTCTAGAAATCGCCAACATGTGGTCCGGTCATTGCCAGTTATCTTACTTGGCATACTACGACCTCGGCGATTTCCGGTAAGAATTAGCGGGATGGACTATGATGGAATTTGGCGTAAAGGTTTATAACTAAATCGACAAAATTGAAAAGTTTACAATTAAATTGACATCAGTATAATCGGTTTATGACTTATTAGACAATGTCCCCGTTGACATTTCGCATATTTTAATCATGGGTTATCAAGAAAGATCCAAGTGAATCCCAAAATAATCGACATGCTAAGCCCATGGCCCGTATGCTGTAAGCAAAGTTTTTCCATGGCACCAGCTTAAATAAATGGTATCAGGTTCTTATTTAGAAGCGAGCGACTCGTGCACATTTTACAATTTGACATCGCAATCTGTATGATAAACGTTCGCTGCTATTCATTAGTTCAATGGCTAGATGGTCCACATATGATCTCACTTATCCGCATCGTCTTAAAAACAAATTAATCAGATCCTATCCTTATGATAAGAGATCATATTATATAAATGGATCAATTAAACACTAGCTAGGTAGCTATGAAGAAACGGAGATACTGTTGGATGCTTTTGAGACATGATTTCCATCAAATTCAAATTGTTGGGTGTCACCACACTGACTTTAAGAGTAGAACATAAACAGGAAATTCCTAACATTTCAAGTAAGGATAATGACATAAATGGTTCCTCAATTTTGGCTCAATGTGCAGTGTGATCCTTGAACTTTTAATTTATTCAATATGGTCCATAAGTTTTATCGCAATGTACAATATGATTCATGAACTTTTAATTTACTCAATGTGGTCCATAAACTTTTGGTACATGTTTGATTTAATCCCTAAACTATTGAATAATGTCATTCCACTAATTCAAGTTCAGGAATAACATTGAACATGTTCATATAGTCCAAAGATTAAATTGAATATATACCAAAAGTTTAGGGACCGCATTAAGCAAATTACAAGTTCATGGATGACATTGAACAAATTAAAAATCCATGGACTACATTGCATATTTGGCCAAAGTTCAAATACCATTTATGTGATTTTCCCTTTCAAATACACTGATTTGACTCTTGTGGGTAATTCTCTAGATTTTAATTGTGAATTTTAAAAGTGTTTTTCTTGCCAACGTTTATGAAAAGTTATTGGAGACCATACCATAGCATGAACTCATCATGGCCGATTGTGAATATCTTCACATCGAGATATATATATTTACAATCAATCTGATGTGCATATTATATTTTTTTATCTGTAGCTTTTTGGGGTCAAAAGCTAGAAGTTGAAATCAAGAAGCTAATACGGTTGATCGTGTCAGCATGACAGTGTTTCGTAGCAATCTCTTAGATGCACCTACCCTATCTTTAAAAGTGTAAAAAACTTGTTGGCAATGTCGATAACAACTACCGCAAAACCTAGAAATTATTAGAGGGTTGCTAACACTATAATCAATGATACATTCCGTTCTTCACAAAGTGCAAAAGGTGCGAAGCGACCGTCCTTCAACATTCAACAGACATTCTAAACTGCAGGATTCGCTTCTAAACACGGCATCACACGTCCTCCAAAACATGGCGGAGCACATGCCGTAAGAAAAATAATACCGGGCGCGAAATTATTGCTAGTTATGTACGCTACAAGAGGAATCCCCTATTACAAGGGGGCAAATTATGATGAATTAAAATCGTGCTTCGTTAGGTAAAACCCTAGAAAAAGAAAGAGCTCCTTTTGGTCCATGTAATGGACTACAGAGAACTCAAAGTGGGAATATTCTTTGCTAAATTTACGGTGCACGAGTAAAAAAAGCAGTGGAAAAAATGGACTGCAAAGGCAGTTCAAGCCCTGTTCCAGCAACTTTGGTCATTTTCCATGATCCCCACCAACGACATCCTCCTTCTCTCTTTTCTTGGGATGGTTTGGTCATCAGTGAAATGTGACCCGAACCTACTTCCTTTAGCAGAAAAGCTAGATCCGAAGTGGAATGTTTACGTGCTAACCTCGAAGCAATCGTGCTTTACGTGGGTGGCTGTCTCTTTATGTACTTTTCCGCAAGAAGGCCACTCCAAATTTGGGTTTGGGACATGATGCTAGACTCAGACATCTCCTTTGATTCTCATGTACGAACTCCTCAGTGTGGCACTGGTGCTTGGCAGCGTCCGTTAGCCTCTCTTACGCGTCCCGTCGCACGTTTTGGCAATTATGAATCATGTGCATAACGACATATAAACCGGACGCGTTTCATCCTTCCATATTCAACCAAAACCGCGGCGATCACCGCGTACGGATGAAATGCACTTTCCACGTGCTTAATGAATCATGAAACTCTAGTTTTACTTCAACAGAAACTGACTGGCCTTTTGAAGTTAACGGGTTATGGCCATGTGCATTCTTGTTAGGGCTATCAAAATGTGCCGCACATCTATATTTGAACCCCCTATTTATAGGATTAGGTCATAAATGGGTCACTTCAAACTTAAGATATGGGCCATTATGAATTTTACAGAAAAAAAAAACCAATTGATTGTGGATATTAATGGGTTTTAAATAAACTCATTTTGAACCCATAAAAGCAATTAGTCGAAGAAAATTTTTTAAAAAAATTCCTCTCTTCTTCGACAAAGGGAGAAAGGGTGAAGACTGCCATCGACGATGTCGCTCCGCCGTTGATGATGTTGCCGACAATCAACGGTCTTACCGGCAGCATCGCTAGCAAAAGCAATGGTCTAGCCAACAAGGCTGCGAATGATAACCATTCTGTTTCAGAAATCAATTTTTGGCCAGAAATTGATTTTTCTATTTCTGTTTCTGGAGGAGTGGCCGGCGGGCGGCGGCGGGCGGCGGACAATCGCTTCATTTCTTTTAGAAATAGAATAAAAAAATTAGAAAATCTGGAAAATTCCTAAAAATCTAAAAAAAATTCAGAAAATCCATAAAATTTTCCAGAAAATAAAAAAAGTCGATTTCGGAACATAGGAAATTTGTTCATTTTTCCAAAAAAAAAAAAAAAATTCAAAACTTCATAGAATGGCTTAGAATACACTGGCCATCCACTTTGAGTGAAATTTAAATTTTTTGATGTGCCCAAAAAATCAAAAAATAAAAATTTCAAAATTTCACGAATGCTTAGAATCCACTGTAGCCACCACTTTGAGTGAAATTTAAATTTTTTTATTTTTTTATTTTTTTGGCACCTAAAAATTTAAATTTCACTTAAAATGGGTGGCCACATGTATTTTAAGTCATTCCGTAGTTTTGAATTTTTTGGTTTTTTGGGCACCTCAAAAAATTTAAATTTTACCCAAAGTGGGTGGCCACAGGTATTCTAAACCATTCTGTGAAGTTTTGAAATTTTTTATTTTTAAATTTTTTTGGGCATCTCAAAATTTAAATTTCACTCAAAGTGGGTGGCCACAGATATTCTAAGTCATTCTGTGAAGTTTTGAAATTTTTGATTTTTTGATTTTTTTTGGGCACCTCAAAAAATTTAAATTTCACACAAAGTGGGTGGCCATATATTCTAAGCCATTCTGTAAAGTTTTGAAATTTTTATTTTTTTTTTTTTTGGCACCTCAAAAAATTTAAATTTCACTCAAAGTGATTGGCCACAAGTATTATAAGCCATTCTGTGAAGTTTTGAAATTTTTTTATTTTTTTTGGAGAAAATGAACAAATTTCCTATTTTCCCGAAATCTGACTTTTTTTTTATTTTCTAGAAATTTTTATGAATTTTTCTGGAATTTTTCAATTTTTAAGGATTTTTTGGAATTTTTTTGCCGCCAACAACAGTCGATTTCTCTGATTTCTCGTATGGTGCTTGTCGATCTCTCTCTCTCATCCAGATCGACGAAGATTGGAATGATTTGGTAAAAACAACAGCTTCACCATCAGCTTGCGACCAAAAACACTTGACAACCTTTCACTGCCGATCCTCAAAAATCAAAACCGATCGAAGTTTCCCCACGACCAAGCATTCATCGATTAAAAACAGACGAACAAAGATATAGAGTGATCAACCAATAGAATCTTGGTGAAGCCACTGACGTAGTATAGCTTGCCATCTGACTTGCAAAGTGCAATCCTACCATCGTAATTGTAGAGAAACTTCAGAGTGCACGACATCTTGCTCGAATCTACAAGGTCTCTAACCGTCTTGTTCTCCATCACGAGCAAAAACAACAATCCCCGTGTTCAAGGCGGGCCGAAGGTTTTGTCTGGGGAACAAAATAGCATTTCTACATATGAAGAGGGTGGTGATCGGGGTGCCGCGGTGATTTAGGGTGTTGCCGA